ATATATATATATATATGTTAGTACTACACTAATATTACTACTAATATATATATTATAATTATATATATATGTATATATATATTAGTACTACACAGTGGGACCCAACAAGAAGTCGGCACAGGCTACGCATCGCGGTTGGTGTGGTGTTAGTAGTTGGTATATATAATTATTTTGCGTGAAGTTATGTTGTTGTATTTGTTTATTTTTTTATTATTATGGAGATTATTGTTTTCTTTTTAGCTCTTCACTGTTTTTTTAATCGTTTAACACATTAATGCGTGGAGAGCGAAGGAGGCTGCGCTGCACGGAGGCTTCTACAGCATGCTCACTCTTGTGGGTTAAAATTTGAATGTATTTAAATTATTTGGAACAAATAAATTGAAAGCTATTTGTCAAGTGAAATACATTAATTTCATATTTCATCGTATATAGAGCGTGGAAGGGTACAAGCTGCGGTCGGCTGTCGCGGTGGGAGCTGCGAGCCACCGGCAGTTAAAACTTTTACTGCAGAGTTTGTTTTGATTTATTTCGTTTGAATTATGTTAATCTGACTTTGTTATGATATTTATTTCATTTTTCTCGTTTAAACAATACCCCACATCGTCATCTTCCTCCGACATCCTGCTGCAGCATCTCCACCTGCATGAGCACAGAGGCGCCTCAGCATTTGTTGTGCTTTCTTTAATTCTTTTTTCTTGTTTTCTCTGCATTTTATACATTTTTTAATGCATTTGAAGAGCAGAAGCGGCATCTTGCAGAGCATCCCACCGTACGATACCCCCCAACCCTTTCAACGCATTATCATTATTGAATTCCTATTAAACGCTGCAACAACAAAAGTAGAAAACAGAGGCAAAATAAAACAAATATCAAAATTTTTAATGACAGCTTGATGGTGGCTGTTGTTGACAGCAGCAGCAGCAGCAAAGCGACACCACCGCAGCACTTGGCTACCCGCTCTCCTCTTTTTTTTTGTTTTAATGCAAACAAACCCTGAAAGAAACAAATCAACGGATAGACTTCCACTGCGCATACACCAAAACACAAAAGACAAGAAATTGTTCCAGGGACTGCAACTGCAGCTTTCTCCCAAACGGTTGCTAATCAGCACCGCATCCATATATATAGGTTTCTCTCTCTCTCTCTCTCTCTATATATATATATAATATTATTTGCATATATATGCATGATCTCATGTGGATTAAACAAGATTTGAACCTGCTGTAATTGTACAAGTGGACTTGCGGATGGACCTGCGGACCTGCTGAGGACAGAAGAGAAACAAGCATCATCATCATCATCATCATCATCATCATCATCAGCAGCAGCAGCAGCAACAGGTGCAGAAGGCTTTTGCTGCCGTTTCCTGGGCTGAGAAGATGTGCCCATACATAGGAGGGAGCAGCAGCAGCAGCAGCAATTAACACCTTCTGTCTGCTGTCTTGCGGGGCACAGATAGCTGCTGGTGCGGTGCTGCTGCTGCTGCTGCCAAAGATGTCTTTCGCTCAGCTAAGTGCAGCAGCTTCTGCTGCTGCTGCTGCTGATGCTGCTTACATGGAAGACGGGCGACAGGTTCAGCAGCTGCGACAGCAGCTGCAGCAGCACGTAGCGAAGTTAAACCTTTTGCAGCGCTCGCATGCAGCGCAAGACCCATTCCGTCTGCTGCCGCATATATCTTTTGAGGAGCAGCAGCTGCTGCAGGAACAGCAGTTACTGCAGCAGCAGCAGCAGCTGCAACGCGAGCTAGAGGCCTCCAGGGCAGCTGCTGCGCGTCTCCGCAAGGCTCTTCAGCAGCTGCAGCTGCACGTAAGCGCCTCTACCTCGCTGCGTGAGCAGCGGCAGCGGCAGCAGCAGTATAAGCAGCAAGCTGCTGCTTGCGAATTGCTGCTGCGAGAGCTGCGGGATGCTGCACAAGGGGATGCATCGTTTTTACAGCAGCAGCAACAGCAGCTGGTGCTGCATGCAGAAGATTCGTCCATGCAACAAGAGCAACTGAAATCACACAGCGTAGAGCCAGCAGCAGCAGGAGCAGCAGCAACAGGGTCTCACACCACTTCCCACCTGAGAAGCTCTTCTGGGGTCGGAGGCCCTGCTATTTTTGCAGCGCATGCAGAGTATCCAACAACAGAGCGGCTGGGGGCCTCTGGAGCAGCAGCAGCAGGAGCAGCAGCAGCAGGAGCAGCAGCAGCAGGAGCAGCAGCAGCAGCAGCGAGCCCCTGGGAGCTTAGCATGGGGAGGATCCCTTTTGGGGATCGTGGGATAGTCGATCCCACCTCCGCTAAGCAGCAGCAGCCTCCTTCTGCTCCCTATGGAGCCGCTTCGGGGCAGATGCATGCAACGCATGCAATGCATGCATTGCATGAATCGCATGCATCGCATGCATCGCACGCAGTGCATATGCTGCATGCACCGCAATCTAATAGCAGCTTGGGGCCCCAACTTGGCGGCTTTATGGCGCCACTGCAGCTGCAGCATCAGCTCATGCAGACAAACACGTAAGAAGCAGTTGGGTCTCTCTTGTTTCTTCGAATGCCTGCTTTTTGTTCGTTTATTCGTTTGTCTGTCTGCATATCATCTGTCTGGCAGTATATCAGTTTGTTTAGTTAGTTTAGTTTGCTCTATTCGTTTCGCTTGTTTGTGTATGTGTGTATTTACATGTTCATTTGTTTGCTCGTTTTTTTTGATGTGCTTACTTGCCTTTGTGCTTGTTTGTTTGATGTGTTTACTTGCTTTGTTTGGTTGTCTGTTTAATGTGATTACTTGCTTTTTCTGCTTGTCTTCTTCGTTCTTGGTGAGTTGTACTTCTTCTGCACCACCTGCAGGGAGTCGCCCTGTGAACAGCTGCATGCATGCATGCGTTCAGCTCGGTACCTATCTTTATTCCTGACAGCAAAATAGCGGCTTCTCTGGCACGGGAGAAGAGGGACAACTTGGTAAAGATTCACCGCGAGATTAAAAGTGAGGCTCTGCAGATCACAGCTCAACGCCTCGCGCAAGTGTATCAGCAGCAGCAGTGAAGTTCGCCTGCTGCTGCTGCTGTGTGCCCGGGTATACGAACACCTGAACCTGTAAACGAAGCGGTGGGGCTCTATGTCTGCTTACGTTGTCTTGCTGTCTTATCCAGGCATTCAGTCTCTGTACGAACAAATGGCCTTCTTCACAGTAGAACAAGGAAGCCGACTAGGTACGCCCTGTGTGCTGCTGTTCGTGTGTGTGTTTTTGCTTGCTATTAGTGTTTCTGTGTCTGTTCCGCGTTGTATCATTTGACCTCACTTGTTTTAAAGAGAAAGAAACGCTTGCAGCCTTTGTTGCAGTTGTTGGTGATGCATGCTGACGGGCAGGCGAGGGTTTGGGGTGTCGGGTTTAGGATTGGGTGGGTTTAAACGTTTCTGCATTAGGCCATGGTGTTTAGAGTTTAGAACTGCACGAGGCAGCAGTTTTCTTTTGATTCGCTGTAGCAGGAAGAGTCTGCGAAATCCCTGCCTAGAAAGTTTTGCTGCAGCTGCTCACGTAGGGCTTCTGGGGTTTCTGCAGGGCTGAAGCGTGGAGTGCCCCTATTTATGCATTCGACTGTATGGTACATGCTGCATGCAGCTGTTGCATTGCGGCATTTGCATGCATTGCATGCATGGGTTTGGTGTGCTGCGTGCTGCTGCAGAAGTGGTAGGGCAGACCCTGGAAGGCACCCGAGAAGAGGCTGCAAGGGCGGCTCGGGAAATCGCAATGGCTGTGCGTGCAGAAAGGAGGAGGAGGTGCCGAAGGTAGGGAGGGGATGTTTCGATTTGATCTTTGCTTCCTTATGCGAAGGAATGTTCTCAGTTTCCTGCTTGCTACCTGGTCACTTGCGCTTAAGAGTAGAGCATCAGCGAAATGAACAGTGCACTGCTGCTGCTGCCGATGGGAACTGCTTGTCACATCCGACCGCACAGTTGTGTTCTCTCTCTGTGTGTGTGTGTGTATGGTGGGGGGTTGGTCTTGCTTTCAGGTGTATATTCACCTGCTCTCTCTTCCTGGTGCTTCTGTCCTTGGGACTCACCATTTGGTGGAGCGCGGCCTCGTGAATTTCGACGATCAACACATGCACTCAAGGCGAAACGTGCATATTATTTGGGGCTTGCAGACAGTATTTGCGCCTGTGGGTGTCTGTTTTTGACAGCTGCGGTGTCAGTTGTATTTCAGAAGAACATCTGCTACCTGCGGCCGAGAAAGACTGCAGGCAGCTGCGCACAGCGTGGTGCCCAAAGAGCTCCGATATTCGGTTGGTGCTGCCTTTGAGGCGTGACGAATTCATTCTTTGCCTTCTTGCAGCGGTAGTTGTTTGTTCATATACGAAGAATTTGAATTCAGACCTCCACAGACGTTGCACCGCTTAAAGTTTTGTTTCAGCCGCTGCATCATTTGAACGCTCTCTTAGTGTTAGTGTGGTGCAAGGGTGGAGAAGAGGAGCTGTTCTAGATCATCGCTATAATTTGGACTTTCCCGTTTATGATCTGCTGAAGGGCCAGCAAAATTGAAAACCGTCAAAGTGTTTTCTACTCCGAACACTCGCCGAAGGCACCGGAATCAATTGTTTCATGCAAACGCAAACGTCTGAAAAGATTAATATTCTTTTTACTGTGAGAGAGGGATGGCTCAGTTCAACGGACCTGTCTTCATGGCCACCCAGGTTGGACGAGTATTCGGACTTCGAAGGTGGCTGGCGATGGTCTGTGCCATTTCCACGAATAATCGTTTTAATATATGCATTTGAATTATATCATCTAATGCAATCAACTCCCCTTTCATGCCCCCTTCAAGCCTCCCTCAAGATGGTCATAAAGAGCTGTCCTTGCGTCTAGCCATATAGGAAAGGTTCAATGGAAAATACTTGTTCAAAATTCCCATTTATTCAAATCCCTTTATGCAAATAATGCCGCTTGTAGGTAAACAACTTCTCTGCCTCTGGTGCAACGAGATCTTTGCTTCGCGTACGGAGGGGTTCATTGAACTGCGAAGTATGCGAATTGCAAATGTGACAAGCATTGCAAAACAATGCCACGCACCTTCGCTAGAACAACTCCCTGGTGTACGAGATACAGTTTCCCGGCAAGCTACGCACAAATTGAACTCAATGACTTGCCAAGGCAAGCCTTCAGCCCTTGATTAGTAGACGTCAGCATGAAGTTGAACGGGTCCCAACACAGGCACAAGCTACGCCTGGGTGTCAGTGGATGGATGCCTTCAAACCTCAACGTATGGACTAGAGCCAGCTGGAAGACTCAAAACACTTCAGCCATTGCATGGCTGCCTCGCGTGTTGTTGCACCTTTGTGCGCCGTTGCATTGGCACTGAAAGTTCTCCATGTACAGCTGGACAACGAGAGGCTTTTAAATATGCACTAGATGGTCCGGCAAAATTCCATATTTTGACACAGTCGCGTCAATGTAACCAGCTATACTAGGTACGAATTTGACGAAACCAACCAGAGGGGCCGCCAATTCTGCTTAATAGTCGTGCATGAATATGGTGTTGTGAATATGGTGTTGCCCGCTGTTCTACTTTCTCTATCTCCTATGGAACTAGCTGGCTTTAAGCACGTCAGAGGCTGGAACAGTGAACATAAAGGACTACAGAGCACACCGATGATCAGAAAGATAAGACCAGAGTCCATCACGTGGTGCTGCCTGTTAGAGCCATGGTATGAAGTCTGCGGCTAACAACCTTCCAAAACAAACTGGCCCAAATAAGGAACTCCTCGGCTCCGATATCTGGGCAAAGTACCGCTACAACAGAGCAGAATCATAATCCCTCCAGATAAACTCTTCGCAGGCCTCGTTGTGGTAGGGTGCCGAGGCCGGGCAGCCTTGACAAATTCAACGCCAAGACAACAGCTCATGAAGCTTCTTTAACAGCAGAGCATAAAGCAAGGTACTATGACTGCATAGAGCCCCTGTGCAAGACACCCTCAGAGCAGTGCTCAATAAACGCTTCCCAGCAAGAATCCGTCTATGCGGCCCCCCAACTTGTCTCAGAAAAAAAGCCTTTGTACCTAAGCACTTAAATCCGTGCAGTTGATTTCTGGGGCGGCAAGCTGCGCAAAGAAGCTGTTTTTTTCTCCATCTTGCCAGCCTCGGTAGCTTCAGAGACTGGACTTCCAAACCGAGCTGGAGCCCCGTCGTTCTGCAGCACAACAGGAACCGCTACCTCTCAAGCAGTACGAATATGAAAGGGTTGTGCATTTGAAATAGACAGACATCAGAATATCAGAAAAGTACCAACTGACCTGTATAGATGCGAGAATTCCCTCAACGACAGCTGAGTCCTCCAGCGCCCCGCTGATGGAAATATCAACTAAGGCTGATCCCTTGTCAGCGTTGGGCTCCTCCTTCTGCTCCTTACACTGAAGCTTCTCGTAAAGCTCCTCTGCAAAGGCATCATGACAGTTCTGATGGCCGATTCCCTGAACTGCGAAATTCGTGGAGCCAGAGACCTTCTCTCCTGTCACCTCGACTCGCCAGCCTGAGGAGCAAACTGGAAAACTTTTAAGTTGCCATAGCACGCCTGTACGAAGTTTGCTCAACATCACGACGGGAATGTTTAAAACAACTCTTTTGAGGTGTACTCTGGTCTTGATGCATCAGTACCTCCGCTTGATCGCTGAGTTGCAGAAAGTGTCAGCAAAAGCAGTATTAACGGAAAAGTGTTCTAGCTGACTCAGCTCACATGATGAAGCCTTGGTCAGCCTCACTGTGCCTTTCAAGCAATTAATTTGATACGTCAGTGAGTTGTCGCCCACACAGTGACTTATCACAAAAGACCCAAGGGTGCCTGAAGAAGCCGAAGACAAGCCACAGCTGCTACGAAGAGCCACCGCTAGGAGTGGAACTGAGTTGATAAACCATGTCTGCATAACAACCTCGTATCAAGCGTCAGAGTTAGGCAGTGTACACTTTGCAATAAGCATACTCTGCTGTCCAGCCTGATTTTTCAAAGTGAGCCATCCCGTGAGCCGCGCGTATTCTCGGCGGAGCCGCGTGTTCTTTAGCTTTTCCTGCTTTAGACTCTGTCCTTCCTCCAGCGGGAAAGAGCCCGAGCTGCAACAAGGGGCATACTCGCCCTTTGCAACTGCCGACACCGAGCTAAGCTGCAAACCTGTCAGCTGGCGCACAGCCGTTACGCACCGCAGGAGGTCCAGAGCCAAGTGATCTGCACAGCGCAGCACCACGCGAGCACAGCCCTTTGCCAGTTCTGGGGAAAGTGCAATTAGTAGAGACAATTTTCAAAAAATGTTATTTGCGAGGTCACTATTGCTCGCAAAATACACCGCCAGCAGCAGTTAGGATCCCATCCCCCGTTCTCTCCCCTACAGCCAGTGTAAAGACAAGACATCTACCCCGTGGAGGCTTACGCTTGATGTCATAGGGAGCGGTGGAGAATTTATGCTTGAGCGCAGTGTCCGTGCCGCATTTGAAGCACACACTTGTAACTCTGCCCAAGACAGCCACTTTGGCAGCGGCCTCAACAAACGCGTCTTCTTGTCGGTTGTTTTCAACCGCATGCCACACAAGCGAATTACTATACGGTTTGTAGGCGTCCAGGAGGGCCGCCGCATTGGAGAGGCTCATTTGCAAGGGAGAGCGCGTTAGCACGTGCTTGCCCGTTGCGAAGATGCGAGGCAGCAAAGACATCTGCAACGAAGTAGAGCAACCCAAAATACAACTGAGCAATCAAATATGCAGGCAGGGCATATAAAACAGCTCAAACCGCCTTCCTACTTGGGAGGCATACCATTAGCTGCATGTGCACGTCGACGACTACCGCCTGAATGTCCGTCCTGTCTAGCAAAGATGCCAGCCCTTGCGACCCGCTGTACAGTTCAACTTCTTGAAGCCCTGCCCTTTTAACCAGGGCAACAACTTCTTCCTGCTTGAATGCAAAGGCTGCGACGATCTTCATGCGCGTGTCACGACGGAGCAGAGGAAGGGCCTCGAATCTACAAAGAGCACATTGTAAGCAAAAACCCCGCAGTAACGAGGAAAATGAGTGACCTCGGACAGTAACACACTTTGCAGGCAGGTATTGGATGCTCCACACAAAACCACTACTTGCTCCATTCGTGATAACAGAACCAGAGACCTACTGGGTCCAGTAGCCAAGCCCAACTAAAGCTATTCGCACTGGGTTTTTGCACATGCTCAACGTGCGCAGCATCTGCTCAGCTTGAGGATAGTTGGGATCGATCTGCAAAGCCCTTTCGCAGCACTTGATTCCAGCCTCAAAGTTGCCTTCGACTTTGTAGCAACTTGCTAGGTTGATGTACGTGGACGGGTGAGTGCGCTCGGCGTCCAAGTCCGCGCTTGCCTAAAAGCAGCATGCGTGCGTGAGCCAAGCAATGATGCATAAACATCCAGAGGTGTGCCGATTAGGGGAGCGATGCTCCACGGATGAGTAGCTGGGAGCTCCTGCAAAAAGTCGGCATGCCAGTAGATTACCTGCAGGAACTTGAGAGCTTTGTCGCATCTGCCAAGCCTCATGCAGATGTGCCCGCACACATCGGCGACGTCTTCCCCTTTCTTCAACTTGTACCAATTAGCAAAGGTCCTTTCCAAGTCCGCTATCAAGTCCTGCTCCGTCCGTGGATTCAGGTATGGATGCACGCATTGGCTCGTGAACTCATTGGAGAAGTTCAAGAACACGTCTGCGTCGTGAGCCGAATATCGGAGCAGCGAAATCAAAGACTTGATGCTGCTAGCGGGCCTGCATGCCATACAACAAATCGTACGAGACAGATGTTGCTTGGCTTCCTACTTCTTAACTGAGAAGCCGAAACACTCCCAGAATAGACCCATAGTACGCCTGCTGGTGGGCATCTGCTGGAGGCAATATCATCTGCTACCACTGTGGCTAGCGAGTCCGCCCACCCTCCTCCGGAAGCAACGGTTTCCTGTGCGGCTCTTTGCCAGCTGATGAGCGCATCGGGTGCGAGATCTTCGACGTCTTCGAGGAAAGCTGCAACGCTCCTCCCCATTTCAAACTCAGTGCCGCAGAGCCACAAGCCTGCGCACAGTCGCTCCGCATCAGCAAACCACCGCAGAATGCTGATGTCGGTGCAGCGACCCAACTCCTTGAACAACCATTCGCCGTGATCGTGCTCCTGTCGAAACAAGAATTACCCGTCACTTGGAATGTATCCCTATAGGGTGTTGCATGGGAGAAGCCACCCATGCACTCAAAGAAGGTCCGTATGGCGTGGAGGTTGAGCATGAAGGAGATGGAGCCGTGAATAGCGATGTGCGGGTCTCTCACACCCACAAACTCATCCACTGTTGGGTAGCCCTTGTCGCCGACTAGGCAGAACAGGCGACCTCCCCCTATGTGCCTCAGATTACGGAAAAGGGCAAAGGCTCCTATTGGAAGCACAAAAGAAAGCTGTTTGTTCAGATTGCGGTAGCGCAGCAAGACCTCTTTAATGGTAGGGTCCTCGTGCAAGTAGGTAATATTCGCTGAGCTAGAAGGGTCACATGCCGCTTCCAAGTCCACTCCCCGCCACTTCCAGCCCAGTGTCATGCGCAGCATTATCTCTGGAGCATCCAGCTCCTCCTCCTCTGAAGGAGAGTACACAGACACAAGCGCCCTCTCAAACTCGTGCTCGGCGGCCCCTGGTGATATCCTGCAGGCCAAAGCGCAGCAAGTGCTTCCAACACCAGATGCACATGGGCTAATACTGTGACGTTGAGTGAGGGCTGAAATTGGATACGAAGAAACTGCAAACACTTAGTCAGGGAAAATCACGACTCGACGGCTCTTCGAGTGCCTGGAGTTTGGGATGCTCATGCTTTCATTCTTCATGAGGCTGTGATGGTGGGGTAATTCAATATATTCAGGTTCTTTCGAAACAGCACTCATTATCAGTGAGAAGGAAATCACCTCCACGAGTCCGTTAGAAGCGAGTCTAGAACGTAGTTGCAAATAGCAACGACAGGAGCCGCTCCATTGACAACTACTTCATTCCTGACGACCAAATGGACCTCCCTGTCTTTGTTTCCATCGAAAACAGCAAAATCAAGCCACTTCATGTCTACAAATGTCTTCAGGGCCGGGTGTCTGGAGCAGAAATCCACGTTGGCTTCTGCCACATCCGAAAACACGACAAGGAAGGGGCGCTCAGGGAGGCCTAGACTTGCGAAGAGCCTCTGATACCGTTGCAGGGCCCGCAGCAGCAAAAACGTGAAACGCCCATGCCCTCCGCCTATCTCTAGGATAATGACAGGCTTTTCTGGGTCCGCCTCCGCTCGTCTGAACCAGTCTTGAAGGAAGTTGATGATTATTTTCGCGTAGGATCTGCACAGGCGACTGTTGCTTGTCACAAACGAAGGCACGTAGTCATGAGCCCACGCCTCAATGGCCACCTGTTTATAGTAGTTGTCAAGCATCTTCCACATGATAGAGTCGCACAAAGGAGAATCCTTTTCAACGCAGAACTTCTCCTGCGGACACTGCTCCACCGGGGCCTCACCCCCTACCGTTGCAATTCCAGAACCCCTGAACGGGGTGGCATTTCCAGTCATTTTCACTATTCAGACTATAACCCGGTGAATGGGCTTATAACCTTCCAAAGACGGTTACTGCAAACCCTCTGTCGAAACTGCTTTGTTCATGCCTAAAACGGGTTCCAAGGGTGGGAAAGCTCCATTCAATATACTGCCGTCAAGAACAAATGTGTTAATTTGATATTCCTGCCTGTAATCTGAATCAAGTGAAAGGAGGAATAGATCTTTTCCTGTACCAGCGAACAGGAAACCACTGGCCACAACAGGGTCGTCAAGTGAAAAACGAAGTCGGAGAGACGCTGAGTGGGTCAGGGGCTGTTTTCCCCTGAGAAGGAAAAAAACCAATGGTAATTAACACGGTGGTCGCTTTCAAAACAAAATACGTGCAGAAACAAGTCACAGCTAGTTTGGGGTTGCAAATGGAAGGCCGTGAGGTCAAGAGGGTCTGCAGTACCGGGCAGTTCAGTGGGCCTCGGACTGGCAGAAAACCTCGCAGATAATAACGGAAAATCGCGTAAAGTTAACAACAAGCTCCATTATTCAAGCATCTAGCAGGTGCCCTGCGTCTACAACTAAAGACACCGGTGGCAGTGATTGGGGCCGTGAAACTGGAGTAAATAGTGTGGCAGTAGTCACTGCTTCTACGCACAACTCGCCGGATGATATAGGCTTCACTTTGTTTCTTTATAACTTGATTTTTTAAACTGGAGCGTCAAAATGGCAGAGCTGTCCAAAGTAAGGCCGTAAATGGCTCCACCCTGTCGGTATTGCGCGCTCCCGACCTCCACACAGACGCGGACCACCCAGCAAAGGAAGGATACTGGGGGATCCAGTATACACATTTACGAAAAATACCATGTGAAATGAGCTTAGATTAAAATTAAAACATACTTCGGCTACGTGGAGCTTCGTCGAGCACTCGTGTGCAGCACGTGTTTGGCTGTAGACTGGTTGTTTAGTTGCTGCTGGTTGCGTTAGTATCAGGGATCAGTGCTCGTGGAAGTCGTGTTTCTAAAATGATAAAACCCACTTCCCAATGAGCATGTGGAACTGCTTCTAGGAGGGGGCGCTAAGCTAAGCCGCGTAACCGTCTCTACCCCACTAGCTTCTTTGGACTATAGGGACTGTAGCAGGATGTCTCTTAAGTGTGTACATGCATTTCTACCTCCGAGCAGGGTGGCAACTGAGGGCGAAGTAAGTATTTAGCAATTGCCTGCCGTGTTAGTTTTCGAGCTTGTGCCTTTATTCCTTGTGGATGCTTGTCAATTGATGCCTAGTTCCAGTCTGTCGAGGTGCATTCCGTCAGCAACGCTCACAAACGAGTGTGATGTACTAGCACCTACGACCATAGAACCCTGTTTCCCTTTTCCCCTGTTCCGTTTAGCGTGCCTAACCTATGCGTGAGCACTGGCCAGAAGATACAGGGCACGAAGGCGAAGGCCCAGAGCAACTTGACCTCTTAAACACCGGGTATCCACCGAGAACGACATCCTCAAGGCTTCCAGGAAGGACAGCGAAGGCTGGAAAGAGTGATAGCGTCGTTGTGTCAAGGATACTTGGCGTGCTCTTCCTTTAGTCTGCTTGACAGAAAGGAGTCGGTCCCAACCGCCCATCACCACCTGCCAGTTCGCCTGGAGGTACGGCAGTATAAGCAGGCATTATCGTCTCACTTCTTTTCCTCTGCTAGAATTTGAATCGTAATACGTGTGTTGTGCAATACGCCCTTTTGCATCTCGGTTTTCCACGATTTCCTTAATGGTCGTTTTAACAGGATATGCGCCGTGGAATAATAGACCGGCAGGAGATTATAGCATGGTCTTTGCTCACGTGACCAACACTACTCTGCTTGCCGAGTCAGACTGAGGTTTATGCAGGTTTGGTGAACAGTGAAAGGTAGACCATTGATCTAGAAACCCCTGCAGCAGCTGCTGCTCCATCAGCTGCTGCATCAGGGACGAAGTACTTCTGCGCCGTTTTCTTGGTAAATGCTAATCTGAAGGCTTCTCCACGCTCCTACTGCTCCTTTAACTACGCCGTAACAAGGACCACAAATGTTTTCCTAGGCCAGCTCTCTCCGCATCCTATTGGAGAGCATTCTCTCGGCTCTCACCGTCTCCAGATGGGTTATTTCACCTGCACTTTCCATGAATTGTTTGCTTCTAGTTGCCATCCAGGGTTAACGGCAGTGCACCTAACATTCCACTGCACATGTGTCAATACATGTGCGTCATGCACAGCAAAGCATAAAAGGAGGGAACTTAGAGCGGACCACTAAGCCCGGTTTTGGACCGCGCGATTCAAGCGATATGACTGTCTGGCACTTGAAAGTGCTGATTAGAGCCGTATCCACAAAGTTGCGTCCCTCCATTCTGGACAGAAGCAATATGCAAGTATGCAAGCTATGCAACGCTCCTATTGGAGAGCATTCTCTCGGCTCTCACCGTCTCCAGATGGGTTATTTCACCTGCACTTTCCATGAATTGTTTGCTTCTAGTTGCCATCCAGGGTTAACGGCAGTGCACCTAACATTCCACTGCACATGTGTCAATACATGTGCGTCATGCACAGCAAAGCATAAAAGGAGGGAACTTAGAGCGGACCACTAAGCCCGGTTTTGGACCGCGCGATTCAAGCGATATGACTGTCTGGCACTTGAAAGTGCTGATTAGAGCCGTATCCACAAAGTTGCGTCCCTCCATTCTGGACAGAAGCAATATGCAAGTATGCAAGCTATGCAACGGCAGGCATATTATGGCCTACATGCGCAAGGGCGCTTCACTCGGGTGGATCTTTGGCCATCACAACAACCAAAGGGTAGCAGAGACAAGCTCACGTAATTGCATTATACATTGTTGCTGCCCTTAGGAGAAAAGGCTGTGCTTTATTCAACATTCATAAACCTAGAGCTAGGCTTGAGGCCCATGGGATTAGCTAGTCGCTCTTGGCGCCACGCTCCTGCAGCCTTACAATGGAAGTCCTTTTCTATTCAGTTGGCCTGCTCGACCGGTTGATGCGCAACGCCTTTGCAAGCGGTCCTGCTGCTGGACTAGCACATTCAGTGCAAACGTAGCACGAAGAGTGCTAAGCAGATGTGGGAAAGCATGGACAAGGAATTTGAAAATCGAAAGAAAAACGCCGCTCAACTAACCTACTATCGGGAAACTTGCAGACGTCCCTTGACGGGGAGGGGAGGTGGTAGATAGAGCAAAGACTGTAACAGCCTCAACACCCACCAAAGCTCTACGGAGCACCCCCTCTAACGGTTCTACGGAGTCGTAGCAGCTGAGGAAAAGCACCTCCCAACGAATACGACCAAACGAAGCTCAGCAATGCAGCATTGGTT